CATCAAAGATTTTAATTCAGCCTCGGCAGCGCTTAAATGGGGGGTACCGCAAGGGTCCATCCTTTGTCCTCTTTTATTTTCTTTATACCTGCTGCCACTAGGTGCTATTTTCAGGAAACATAACATACCTTTTCATTTCTACGCCGACGACTGCCAAATCTACTTCCCCCTCAGACTCAACGGTACTCGCTCTATTCTACCGTTACTGGACTGCCTGGCTGACATCAGAGATTGGATGGCTTTAAATTTCTTGAGTTTCAATGAGAAGAAATCTAAAGTTATGCTGTTTCCTCCCAATGACACAATCACCAACCACTGCATCGACCTATCCGTTCTGTCACCGTTAGTGAAACAAAGAGTCACTAATCTAGGAGTGATACTTGACCCTTCTCTGAAACTCAACAATCATGTAAATATGATTGTTGAATCCTGCTTTTTCCAGCTGAGGCGACTGTCTAAGCTGAAGCCCATATTGTCCAAAAATAACCTGGAGACAGTAATTCATGCATTCATTACATCCAGGCTCGACTATTGCAACTCACTCCTTTTTGGTATCAGTCAGACCTCCATAGCTAGACTCCAACTGGTCCAAAATGCAGCAGCCCGGTTTTTGACCAGCACAAGCAAAAGAGAGCACATTACACCTGTTTTGGCCTCCCTACACTGGCTTCCGGTTCACCTTCGAATCAAATTCAAAATACTCTTGTATGTCTATAAATCACTAAACAGCTCTGCCCCCTCCTATCTTACTGATCTGCTCCAGCCGTATGTCCCACCACGTTCTCTCAGATCAGCAGACCAGTTGCTCTTAACAGTCCCAGGAACCCGTCTCAAGCGCAGAGGTGACAGGGCCTTCTCTGTAGCAGGCCCAAGACTTTGGAATGAGTTACCTCTGCCCGTTAGACAGGCCCCCTCCCTCACAGTTTTTAAATCTCGCTTAAAAACACACTTATATTCCCTGGCTTTCTGCACTGTGTGATCTGTGCTGAGTCTGTGTGCATCACACTGTGTTAGTCATGTTGCGGTTGTTGTTGTTATCCATTATTGTTTTTGTCGGTTTCTACTTTTTGGTGTCCTGTTATGTAATCTGTTGCTATGTGCTTGTTCTGTTTGTCCCTGTACAGCACTTTGGTGTGCTTTGTCACTGTTTAAAGTGCTTTATAAATAAATTGGTATGGTATGGTATGCTCTATTCAGCCTCTTCTTGACTGCCTGGCTGACATCCGGGACTGGATGGCTTTAAACTTCTTAAGCTTCGATGAGAAGAAGTCTGAAGTCATGCTGTTCCATCCCAGTGGCTCACTCATGAACCATGACATTGACCTTTTCTCTCTAGCCTCGCTAGAAAAACAAAAGGTCACTAATCTGGGGGTGATAATGGACCCGTCCTTAAAACTCAACAGTCACGTAAACATGATGGTCAAATCCTGTTTTCTTCAGCTGAGACGGCTGTCTAAGCTGAAGCCTATACTCTCCAAAAAGAACCTTGAGACAGTGATCCACGCCTTCATAACATCTAGGCTTGATTACTGCAATTCACTTGTGTTTGGAATCAGTCAGTCCTCCATTGCACGTCTACAACTGGTCCAAAATGCTGCAGCCCGATTTTTAACTGGTACAGGCTATAGAGAGCACATCACGCCAGTTTTGGGAGAAGGAAATGCCAAAATGCCAGAAGTCCAGTGTGAAGCACCCACAGTCAGTGATGGTCTGGGGTGCCATGTCAGCTGCTGGTGTTGGTCCACTGTGTTTTATCAAGGGCAGGGTCAATGCAGCTAGCTATCAGGAGATTTTGGAGCACTTCATGCTTCCATCTGCTGAAAAGCTTTATGGAGATGAAGATTTCATTTTTCAGCACGACCTGGCACCTGCTCACAGTGCCAAAACCACTGGTAAATGGTTTACTGACCATGGTATTACTGTGCTCAATTGGCCTGCCAACTCTCCTGACCTGAACCCCATAGAGAACCTGTGGGATATTGTGAAGAGAAAGTTGAGAGACGCAAGACCCAACACTCTGGATGAGCTTAAGGCCGCTATCGAAGCATCCTGGGCCTCCATAACACCTCAGCAGTGCCACAGGCTGATTGCCTCCATGCCACGCCGCATTGAAGCAGTCATTCATGCAAAAGGATTCCCGACCAAGTATTGAGTGCATAACTGAACATGATTATTTGAAGGTTGGCGTTTTTTGTATTAAAAACACTTGTCTTTCATTGGTGGGATGAAATATGCTAATTTTTTGGGACAGGCATTTTGGGTTTTCATGAGCTGTATGCCATAATCATCAGTATTAAAACAATTAAAGGCCTGAAATATTTCAGTTGGTGTGCAATGAATCTGAAATATATGAAAGTTTCATTTTTATCATTACATTATGGAAAATAATGACCTTTATCACAATATGCTAATTTTTTTAGAAGGACATGTATATATATATATATGTGTATGTATGTATGTATGTGCATATATATATATATATATATATATATATGTGAAGATGTTTTAAACCCTTCCCACACTCTTGCAATATTCTAAACAATGTTTCTAAACTCTAAATGCTCTAAAAGAGCACAGAATGTCATGATTTCAGCTCCCTGCCTCATCTTTTACTTGCCACCTGTGTAGTGGAAACGTACGTACGAGATATATTCATACTGTTAAAACGGATTCTTTCATTTTTCTGGACTGTATAATGTACGTGCATTGAATGTAATAAAATGTGGACGTGAGACGTTAATTATCTTTGACCCATCAAAATGAATGCGGTCATTTATTAACAGAATCAAGTTTAACACATCACATATTTACATTAATTGGCAAGAATTGAAAATAACGACATAATTAATCAGCTTTACAACCAGGAAAACCATACGGCCATGATTTTCCGTTGCTTCACCACAGACATTTCTGAAAAACATCTGGATTAATTTGCTAGCAGATAGGAGAGTTTAAAGATGGAAAGATGAAGTTTTAGAGGGAGGGAGATGGTGTGTGAGGGAAAGTGTTGAACAGAACGACACCCTCCATTCGAACCCAGCTTTCCTCGGTACGCTCGGTAGTAAACTCGACTCGTTACCTCTCTGAAGATGAATCAGCGGATACGGAGTTCAGTTAACGCTACCGATCCAGCGTTTCCGTAGGAACAGCTGTGAATCGTCCGAAGTAGTGACGGTATTCCGTCCGACACAGGTTCACCTCACGAGCGGACTTCACATGAGTGGAGTCCGTCAGTGTTCCCCCAGAGGTGGAAGATGTTATAATCCCATAAGACTCGGAAGAGCTCTGTGGTCATGTCAGGATTTTCCTGTTTCCCAGCACGGGAGCTGCAACGACTCTCGACACTCTCCGCCACTCTCCAGACACTCTGAGACTCTGTGAGACTCTGTGAGACTCTAGGAAGTACCGACATTTTAAAGAGCTCTATTTCCGGGTCATCTGGAAGTTTCTGATTGGTCAATATCGACCAGGCAGGGGTGTGTTTTGTGACGTAAGAGGTTACTAGAAGTCAGAAAACAGCAAGAATGTTATGGAACAGATTGAAAATGTTTTTCAGACAGACCAGAGAAATGTTTGGACGGGTTGGCGGAAAACAGCTGCCAACAGGTGCCAGCTTCTCTATTTACGTCTGAGAGGATGTAAAAACAAGACAGCTCGTTCCAACAACTGGTCTGCGTTCGACTCCGACCTTGGACCAAACTTACACTGCTCATTCAAAGACAGAAAATCAGAAAATGCATAATTACTCTGTAACAGGCCTTAACATGAATTCTAACTTTGCATGAGGATTAAAAATCATTATACTGTTTCACAGTTAATAAAAATTGATTAGTTCACTGTAACATCTAAAATGGTTTGAACTAAAACACTTTGATTATCAACATTTGTAAAATAGTAATGATAATAGAAAAGAGAGTGTTCTTTCACTTGAATTCAAGAAAGAAAGTCTCAGGATGGGTCAACCTGTATTTCTGGATGCAAATCAATGAAATGACAGTTCCTGTCCCATATGGTGCCTAAGGTCAAGGTTTTGACCTTCAGGCTTAGTTCACTACACCTGCAAGTGCTCTTAATCATGCCCACTTCAATGTGGTGCGGCTGTGGCTGAGTGGTTAGAGCAGTCTTCTTCCAATGCGAGAGTTGGGGATTCAAATCCACCAGCAGTAACATGTCGAAGTGTCTCAGGGCAAGACACTGAACCCCTCGATGCCTCTGTGTCCCATCAGTGTATGAATGTGATGTAAAGTTCTGATTAGTCTCTTTAGAATGATTTGTTCAATTAGCTTTGTAGAGATCTAGTATAGCGCTGTATGAATGGGTAAATGAGGCACAGATTGTTGTAAAGAGCTTTGAGTGTCGCAATAAGATAGAAAGGCGCTATGTAAGTACACTCTATTTACCATTTACCATTCTCCACTCTGCAAGTACAGCTGCAGCAGGTAGTTTGTCTTGCAGTGTGGGCTGCACAAAGGTGCAGGAGGTGCTAAATAATTTTAAATAATTTATTTTAAATAAAAGTTCCATGCTGATTGTGCGGCTCATCCATCAATCAGCCAATTGTGTGTCATATCCAATCTTATTTTGAAAAACCGTGATAGAGCGAGTCCACAATAAATGAACCGCAAAGTAGCCAGGGACTACTGTATACCAAAGTTCATGCTCAGTAATCCAGGTAAAAATCCAACAATGTTCAGTCATGTCATCTGTACAGTTTCTTTTTTTACTGAGACGTTTCGTCCTTCATTTATGAAGGACTTCTTCAATCTGAGGAGCCACCAAACAAAATGAGTCCCACAAACAGCACACTTCCATAATGGAAGCTTTTTTTTCCGCTCTGGGAGTGTGCTGTTTCGAGGACTCATATTGTTTGGTGGCTCCTCAGATTGAAGAAGTCCTTCATAAATGAAGGACGAAACGTCTCAGCAAAAAAAGAAACTGTCCAGATGACCTGACTAACTAAACATGATTGAATGTGTTTTTATTTTTTCATCTGTCCACAGGGGGAGCTGGTCTGGGGGCAGATTGAGGGTTTCTCTTCCTGGCCAGGCATCATTGTATCCTATGAAAGAGAGAGTTGGGATTCAGAGAAGAAAATGGTGGAATGGTATGGACAGAGAGTGTGTTCTCAGGTGAGTAAAACACCAGCTGGGAAAATCAAAGGCTTTCCAGAAATAAAGTAAAATTCAAACATGATTGGTATTAACATATGTTTTAAATGATAATTTTGTATAATATAAAAAAAGCATTAATCTTAATTGATAAAAATATAATTGTCTATTTGTGTTATCGTATCCTTGTTTTATTGATGTATTTTCAGTGTTTATACATTTTAATCTGTAACAGTCTGTACATGTTGTGAGCATAATAACTTGAAAATTAAGTGAGGTACCAACTTCCATTTTGGTGTGTGGCTACATCTAGGTGGAACAAATGTTCCTTACTGGGTTGCCATGTCAAAATCCAAGATGGCCACCACCACCGTATGTAAACTGGCCACCACTGAGCTACCACAGCCTTCTATGGAGCAGAGAGCTGCCATCTAGGGCTCCCTAGGGAGCAGATGGTGGGGTTTAAGGGCCTTGCTGAAATGCTCAGAGTGGGGCAGTAGCCTATATGCCACGGGTAGTGGTGACGTACTTCTGTTGATATTTTAGACACGAGGATCACTTCTGGTTGCCTCTTGCTCTTGTTTGTTTTTAGCGGTAGCTGCAAGAGTTGTACCGCAAAGAAGACACAGAAGTTAAAATATATCTGCGCTACTGGTACAACAACCGAGTTTTGTTGTGTGTCGTTGTGTCCAGTGAATAGCAGGTACAATAGAGTGCTTAGTTTTTTACATTTTCCTGTCACGATTTGTGGCTAACCGCAGGGAAGACTTAGCCATTAAAGCTAACACTCGGGATTGTAGCCAGCATTTTAAACCTCAGGATATTCAAGAGCCAACGTCAGAAACAGGAAGACGGCGGTTAAAAAAGGGAGCTGTACCTGCATTGATCGAGTGGAATAAGTTCTCCCTTCCACTTGCACGACCGTGGGTTTGGGAGAGAAGGCAAAAAGGACAGCGAGGAGGAGAACACAGCAGCTGCAGACCTCAGTAAGAAACACGATGATGCCTCGGCTCCTCACCCTGCAGTTGTGGATTTGGTGTTGGAGTAATGATGAGTGATTTGCTAGAAGTTTGTGACTACATACTTTCAAAAGAATATTCAGATTTTAACATGCATTTTTTAATCTGTAAAGATTTTTGTATACTCTTACTCAGTAACTTCAGTGCTGTTGCACCTCTGAAATGTTCTCTGCAGTTTCCTTTATTGTGACACCAGAACTGTTTCACTTCAATTAAACATTTATTTCCTGAGACAAATGATAGGACTAACAGATGGACTTATATACACAAACAAATTCCTGGCAAGGACCAATGCAGACATGTTCCTGTTTTTAGTTTTCTACAATCGCCTTAGATTCTAGCTGTTTTTTGTTACCTTTCTTTTTTTAGCCATCCTATTTGTTACATAAAACAGAAAAAAATCTGTATGCCTTTTTATAACTGTCAATTGTTGTTGCTGTTGTCCATTGTTTTTCATCATTCTTTTTTGAAATCAAGTCTCTCTTGTAAATGAGTCCTCGAGGCTCAATGGGATTTACCTGTCTAAATAAAGGTTGAGTGAATGAAATAATAAATAGGACATGAGACGAGGGTGATCTTAATCAGACAATTAAAGCAGAACACTAGGGAGGACAGACAGGGAAGGCCCACTAGATGGCGCCATTACAGTACCCCCCCCTCTCATAGATGCCCCCTGGCGTCCCCAAGAAACCCTCCAGAAGACTAGGGTGGAAGGAGGGAGGAACTGCAAGGGTGGCAGGCCCAAACAAACACACACGAGGACCGAAACAAAACTGACAGACACAAGGCCTGGGGACAAAACTACACAGGGAAGACAAAAAATGTCCAGACGGCCAGGAGACCATCCACTGGATCAGAGCAGGTCAGGTAGGCGGCTGGGAGGCCATCCGACGAGGCAGAGCAGGTCAGGTGGGCGGCCGGGAGGCCGTGCGACGGACCAGAGGAGGCCAGGGGGACGCCTGGGAAGCCGTCCAGCATGGGGCCAAAGTTCAGGTGGGCAGCCGAAGGAGATGGACACTCTTAAGGACCCATGAGTGTCCAGCTCGGGGAGTGAGGAGCGGGAGAACCATTGTCTCTGCAAGAGATTGAGGAGGCGCTGCTGCAGGGGTGTCAACACTTCAGCTACTGCAGAAGACTCAGGTCCTTCTGGGGCAAGATCAAAATCCTCTTCAACAGGACAATCTTCTTTGGCAGGGTCACGGTTGGTTGCCGTGTCTGTGTTGGCTGCAGAGTCTGTGTCGACTGCAGTCTCTGTGTTGGCTGCAGTCTCTGTTTTGGCTGCAGTCTCTGTTTTGGCTGCAGTCTCTGTGTTGGCTGCAGTCTCTTGTGTTCGCAACGTGAGGGGCGTCCTCCAGGACCCCCTCATAACCGGAAATGTGGGAAGCGTCCTCCAGGACCCCCCGGAACTGGAAACGTGAGAGGCATCCTCCTGGACCCCCTCGAGACAGGAGACGTGGGAGGGGTCCTCCAGGACCCTCCTGGAATAGAAGACATGAGGGGCGTCCTCCAGGACCCCCTCGGAACAGGAAGCGGGTGGTGAGGTCTTGGAACTGGACCCCACAGGTTCTGGACCTCTTGCAGTTCTTGGAGACTCAGGGACCACTGCAGGTTTTGAAAGACCTGCAAGTTCTGAATATTCTGCGGCAGGTTCAGTGTCTTCTGCAGCGGACTCTGACCTTTCTGGGGCAGGTTCAGTGTCTTCTGTGGCAGAGTCTGGGCTTTCTGCGGCAGGTTCAGTGTCTTCTGTGGCAGACTCTGGAGACCCATGGACTGCTGTAGGTTCTAGAAGACTTACAGACTCTGGAGATCTATGGACCACTGCAAGTTCTGGAAGACCTGCAGACTCAGGAGACTCATGGACCATTGCAGGTTCTGGAAGACCTGCAGAATCTGGAGACCCGTGAACCACTGCAGGTTCTGGAGGACCTGCAGACTCTAGAGACCCGGGGATCACTCCAGGTTTTGGAAGACCTAAAGACTCTGGAGACCTGTGGACCGCTGCAGGTTCTGGAAGACCTGCAGACTCAGATGACCCATGGACCGCTGCAGGTTCTGGAAGACCTCTAGAATCTGGAGACCCATGGACCGCTGCAGGTTCTGGACTACCTGCAGACTCTGGAAACGCTGCAGGTTCCAAGCCCATTAATCCCACAAGTAGGTGGTGGCTCAGGTACTCCTCCCCCTGCGAGAAGCTCCCAGACTTTACGGTCGAGTCAGTGTGCTCAGGGACCAAAACAAGATTAAGTTCAGTTTTTAATTTCCATGCAAAGTTAAAGATCACCTGATGGACAGGTGTATTAATCAACTTAGGCTGGGAGGTGAAAATCCTTAATAGTTGATCAACAAAGAATGTTCTATCCTTAACTTTGTCTCTGGGCAGGGCTCGGAGGATCATAACTTTCCATGGGCTACCTGGTCCTTCAGTGGAGGCAGCTCTGGGATGTGGTTACACTCCACTAAGGCAGGGAACTGTAACCCAACATGCTCTCTGGGTTGCCCCCCTCCATCTGCTCTATAGATGAACGGGGGGATGACTGCCCCCCCCCCCCCCGGCAAAATTCTCCCCGGTTTCGCAGGTTGTGTCTGAGGAGAGCGGGGTGGGGGCTGGGACCAGGAGAAGGTGGAACTTGTCTCTTGGGAAGCTCTGAGCAGGGGTGAGGTGCCAGATCCAGCCCTCACCGGGACCATGGAAGGCGAGGCGTCTGGATCAGCCCTCACAGAAGCACCAGGATAGGTACCAAGAGACTCGGTCTCACAGGACCGAGCACGAGGAGCAGGGCATGTGGGTCGTGTTGGTGGAAGAGCAGCAGACTGGTTACGGTGGCTTCTTCTGCCTCTTTTACGGTGGCGGTGTGAGTGGTGTACAGGGGTGAGCCAGAGTTCGTCCTCCGAATCAGCATCTTCCCCTGATGTCCACCCGGAGTAAGTTGGCGAATAATGAGCAGGATAGAAGGAGAAACTGGATCCATGTAGGTTACCTTGGAGCTGAGAGCTCTTTCTCTCCTCCTGTATCAGGAGAGGTGAAGGCAGAACTTCCACCGCCTGGCTCTAGTACTCCAGTCCCAGGATGGGTTCGGTCCAAAAGGCGCCGCACCGGACCACATATCTTTTCATCTGGATAGGCTTGGACAAAAACAGGTGAGCGGAACTCGGGAGATCCTGCCCGCTGGGTTCAGGTATTGGTCGGTTCAACCTGTCAAGGTTTTCTCAGGGAGGACAGGAATGAACCCATAGTGCAGGCAGGACTCGGGAGGCAGGACATAGAAAATGATACTTTAATAATAACATAAAGAGGCTGACGTGGCAGCAAACTTACACGATTAGGAGCAGACTTGGAACAAACTTGGAACAGGACAGAACAAGGACTGTACCCAATGAGACGAACCGACAAATGACAGGACTAACAGAAGGACTTATATACACAAACAGGACATGAGACAAGGGTGATCTTCATCAGACAATTAAAGCAGAACACTAGGGAGGACAGACAGGGAAGGCCCACTTGATGGTGCCATCCTTACAAGCTTACCTGTGGGCCTGATTTTGGCCCGCGGGCTGTCAATTGAATAGCTCTGCTTCAAACTAACCTGTTGTTCCTTTTAATAAAGCCACGGAGTGATGTCCCATTCCCTGAACAGCTGACCATTAACATAAAGTTTATCTTCAGCCACCGTAGCGCTGACGTGGATGCAGTGTTTTTTTTGTGGTTTGCCCATCACGATGGTGTCAAAACACTTGTCCACATAACTCTCCAGACTGTCCAAAGTTTCCTCGTCCAGTTTGGTTTATTGAAACAATAGGCAGAGGTTAGTATTTGGGAGAGTGGTGGCGCAGAGGTTAGAGAAGGTGGGCCTGTGATCGGAACATCGCCAGTTCAAGCCTCGGTACCGACAACATCAAAAATGTGGGTGGGGTAGGTGAAGCACCCACACCTGCCTCCACCCTCATTTGCCCCACTCTGGGCATATGAGCAAGGTCCTTATCTCCCATCTGCTCCCTAAACAGGTCTCTCTTGAAAATGAGTTCTTGTGGCTCAATGAGACTACCTGTATAAATAAAGGGTAAATGAAAAAAGAATTAACAATATTTTATGTTTGATAATATATTGGCTTGTTTTACCTGATTTGAATTGTATTTGTTTGGTTTAGCAGTATTCTGCCTTATTACTTACGCGGCACAGCTCTCGCGTGATCTCAGCAGCTCATCACCAGGTCATTCTGTGTCTAATGTTAATCACTGCAGGTGTCTGTTATTTTTTCCTATTAGTCTGTGTATATATTCAGTTCCTTTGCGTCTTGTCTTTGTCTCGTGATTGTCCTTCTATGGTGTTGTGTTCAGCCTCCCATGTTCAGCCTCCCATTCTATCCTGTTAGATCCGTCTGTAAGTAAGCTGCCCTGTCAGTATTTTTGAGTTTGTTTATAAAGAAATTTGTTTAACCTTCTACGTCGAGCCTCCAATTATCCTCCTGCACGTGGGTTCAAACACTCTGATAGCCAAACATGATAGAATCCCGAGACCAAATTTGAACCCAGTAGGAAGATGATAACTTTGTTTGAGATTTTGGCCTATGAGGCTGGTAAAACCGCCCAATGTGAGAGAGAGAAGGAGGAGAGAAGGAAGACTCCTTTTTGGGGGACCCGCCTGGCCATTACACCTGTGTCCTCAGCCTCACCATCTCTCTCCCCCTCATCTACTCCTCCTCGCTGCTGCACCCCGCTGCCCACCTCCTTTTCGTTCTCCTCCTGGCTGTCCCAAACAATCATCGTAGAGAGGGGGGTGAATCGCTATTCCTCCCAGAGTCCAGTGTAAGAAGGAGAGAGCTTTGTGAATGGGAGAAAAGCTCAGCCGTCAATCATAGGAGGAACGGCAGAACATTTTGCTGGGGGGAAGGTACCCATATCCACCAGACGAGCAACCCAGCTTTTGCTTGCTGGAAGAGCGAGTGGGGAGTTCACTAGGGGAGAAATACCCGTGCCCCCACTTGCCGGAGGAGCAGCCCAGCCTCCCTTCGCTGGAGGAGCTGAAGTGGTGGGAGGGTTTTCTTTTGGCAATGTATCTGGATCTGCCCAGCTGCGAGGAGGTCCAGACGAATTCCTCTCTTCGGTCCAGCTGCGAGGAGATCCAGGCGAACACCTCTCTTCCGCCCAGCTGCGAGGAGGTCCAGGCGGACACTCCTCACTCCTGCCCGCCTGAGGATTCCACTCCTTCAGAGCTTCTGGTTCCTGGTTCTGCAGAGGTTCTGGAGTCTCTTGCTGCAGCCCCGACTCCACCACCTGCTGCAGCCCCAACTCCATCCTCTCCTGTTGCAGCCCTGACCCCCGTTCCTGACCCTCCTGCTGCGGCTCTGGTCCCTAGTTCTCCTGCTACGGCTCTGGTCCCTGTTTCTCCTGCTGCGACACTGGTTCCTGGTTCTCCAGCTACGGCTCAGGTCCCTGGTTCTCCAGCTGTGGCTCTGGTCCCTGGTTCTTCAGCTGCAGCTCCGACGCCCGACTCACCGAAAGCTAAAGACCCTGAGTCTACCGCAGAAGATCCTGGTTCTTCAGCTGCGGCTCCGACGCCTGACTCGCCGACGACTGAAGACCCTGAGTCTACCGCAGAAGATCCTGGTTCTTCTGCTGAGGTCCTCGCTCCTGGCTCTTCTGCTGAGGTCCTCGCCCCTGGATCTTTTGCTGAGGTCCTCACCCCTGGTCCGCCCGAAGAGGTCCTTGCCCCTGGTCCGCCCAAAGAGGTCCTCGCCCCTGGTCCGCCCAAAGATGTTCTCTTCTGCCTGAGTCCAGGAGGGCACAGATAGACACCTGCGCTACCCCAGTATGTACCGTCCATTGGTCACCTGCCGGAACACTGGCCTGAGGGTGGATGGTTCCCAGGTTGCCCCCCTGATCTCCTGCCTCGTTGGGGATGGTCGCCAGATCGCCTGCATGACCACTGGACCTGCTTTTGGATTGTCTCCAGACCGTCCACATTGACTCTGGGTTGGGGTTTTCTATGTTTTTGTTATTTTGTGGTCAAATTAAACCCAGGTTTGCCTGTCGTTTTGTTGTTCTTTTGGTCCTATATGTTTCTCCATCTTGGTCTGTCCTGTTTTTGTCCTGCCTCCCACCCAAGTTGGATGTAGTCTCGTCCTTTGGATGTCAGGAGCCATCCCTTGAGTGGGGGATACTGTAGGGTTTTTGGGCTTGGTCCTGTCTTTGTCTGTTTCCTCATGTTTTCATTCAGCCCTCCCTCCTTGTGTTCAGCCCTTGTCTCACCTCTGTCTAATGTTAATCACTGCAGGTTTCTGTTATTTGTTCCGATCAGTCTGTGTATATATTCAGTTCCTCCACATCTTGTCTTTGTCTCGGGTATGTCCTTCTATGGTGTTGTGTTCAGCTTCCCATTCCGTCCTGTCAGATCTGTCTGTAAGCAAGCTTCCCTGTCAGCATTTTTGATTTTGTTTATAAATAAATTTGTTTAACCTTCTACATCGAGCCTCCAATTATTCTTCTGCACGTAGGTTCAAACACTCCTGACAGCCGAACATACTATGAGTGTATTTGGATGCAAATAATTCTATATGTGCGCAAAGACGCCTTCCGGCAAATAACTATGACCTGCCCCACCCAGTCAGGCGGCTTTATCTCCGGTATCTTCTGGTGAACTGCGACGATTATGGAAAACTCAAACATTTTCTATATCAGGTTTTGATTTACTTTAAGAGCTGCAAAAGCTTCTAAGCACATGGCGTTATTTCTAAACTAACAATTGTGATCAGTTATCATAGACCCTAACCACAAGATCCATCGTCCTCTCATGCCCTCGTCTTCTCCTGGTCTGTCTCCAACCTCTCCCCTTGACTGAGTGTCTGGTCTGGTCTTCCAGAAATGGACACCCCCCAGGTATCCCAGGTACCTCTGAAAGGCAGAGTGAGGTCTGCTCAATACATATGGAAAAAAGGTCAAAACAACCAACCAAGAACTGCTTCTTTGCCAGGTGTAGCCTGTAGTAAGTATAATATATGTGCCAGTAAGAATTATTTGTTTAACCTAATTTAGCATTAATTCTGAAGATAATTTGTTATAATCTCAGATCAAGCGTAGATTTGTCAAACACCGCCCCCCCCCAGTGGCTTGTTTTAAGAACACCACCTTAAGTATCAAATTAACTAACCGCTGTAAATACCAATTTAAAAAATCAATCTGAATCAATTAAACAATCATTTGCACAGTTGTTGTATTCCCCCTGTATAAGTAAAAAGTAAGTAAAAACAAAAGCACTCAACACTACCCCCACCATGGAATCTAACACTGAGTTTGAGAACTCCATCAGTCAACGTCCTGCTCTTCCCGTTTGCCCTCTGGCAGTCCCCCGGTGTTAAGAAAAACTAACATTTACCTATATGTTTATTCATTTACTTTATCCACCCAATACTATGGAGAGCCATTTCATTCAAAATTAAATAAATAGTGTTGTTTAAAAATTGTTAATATTCTATTAAATATTCCCATGAAATTAAAAAAAATTAATAGAATTTTTTTTTTCCCAAGATTTATTTTTTATTTATTTCAAGATTTATTTATTTTATAATTAAGTTTCATTTTGTGACATTTTATTTTGTAAAGCTACTTTACATATTTCAGGGGCTTTTTTTTTTTTATCCTGTTTTGCATTTTAAGCTCTTTTTATTTCATGTTCTTATATTCAAATGAGGGGTGGGTTTTTCTCTATAGGGTGGGTCTGGTCAAATCATCGACCCAGACCTAAGCTTTGGAACCTATGTCACTGCATAGTGACGTTGTGGGGCTTTTACGTCTTGCGCACCATTCATCCACAGACCAAAACAAATTGTATTCCAATGTTTGTCTATGGTGTCAGCGCTGTATCCTCCTTCATAACGCTGAAAAGCAGCTCAAAACAAAGTGGACTATATCGTGACAAACTTCTCCCAGATGATTAAAAGCTGTACATGGGAAAAACTGGGTAAAATTAGAAATGTCGACTCGCTTGAGAAAAAAAACCCAAATGGAGCAGAGACCCCGAATATTTGCCTCCACTGACATTCCCAATAATTTTTGCACACATGGTCTGTGTCAGTGCTTTGCAAATAATTTTAAGAAATACAAGTCACTGGAAGAGCATTTCTGTCCTAATGACAGAGCGTGCCCAGAAAGAACAGACTGAAGGACAACAGACTCAGGATCATAAATAGAAGGGTGATTTATTTATGATTTATGTGATTTATTTTACAGTGTTAATAATAATAATAATAATAATAATAATAATAATAATAAACAGTCTTATATTCACAGGAGCTGAACTGGAAAGCCCCTGGAAGGGGAAAGGGGAGACGATTAGAGTCTTATTGGTTGGAGGATAGATGATATGATGGATGGGCAATAATAATATTCCTCTTACTGTAAATGACGGGTGGGATGACACAGGGTGAAGATATAACAAATCCAATTTCCAGCAAGAGGTCGATGCACGGGTGGCGCGTGGAGGTCGAGGCAGGAGGGGTAGTAGTTCGGCTGGAGTCCACGAGGAGAAACTTGAGCTCAGGTAAGTACAGATCAATCCACAGGTTTGCATAAAACGTCCAGGACTGGAGGCCCAGGAAAAACCAAGGTCTGTCAGGAGCGAAGAAGACACACAGGTAAGTATTTCAAAAGATATCACACTTGAAAGGCCAGGAGCACAACTACCCTCAACAAGATATGCTCGGGCACTGGATGAAGCAAGTCTGCAGCCTCATATAGTCCTGAAGGTAATTAGGGAGATGGCCAGCAGCTGGGCGTGATTAGCCTTAGTTCCTTGCACTAATTCCTTGTCTCTGATTCCAGGTCGATTTGCAGACTCTGAAACCATATGCTGAATTTGGCCTGCACTTCTCTGCCAAGTCGTTCGCTACCCTCGTCACATACCGAGACGCCATCTTCTCATCCCTGCAGGTTAGCGTACCTGTTCACTGCTGATATAAATGAACAAGACAATTCAGACAAGCACGTAAGCTGTGAAGATAACTTGTGTACTTTGAAAAATAAATTTAGTCTTGTGTTAGATCTTACAAGGTACTCAAATTGGAAAATGCATTCCCTGACCAAAAAAAATAACAAAAATAAAAAGAAGTCAGATGTAGAGGTGGAAATGACATGAAACCGCATCATTTATGGAACTATACTGCAATGAGTGGGATATTTATTTATTTATTTTTATTTAGAAATGTATTCATTTCATTAAAAACAAAATAACTCTATACGATAGAAAACAAAAATGTATATACAATCAAAAAATAAAATGAAAGGCAGCAGAAGAATAAATCTTATATCTGCCCCGTTTTCCCAGAATATATTCAAACAAAAGTAAATTACCAAAAAACAAAGCTAAATAAAAACAACATCAACTCAAACAACAATTTGTATATACACATATTATACTTTTCCATATTCCTTCAGAAAACTAACTTTTAACATTTTCTTGGATATGTACATAGATGTGGCAGTTTTAACATCATCCTTCAGACCATTCCACAATCCTGTTCCCTGAATTATAGTAGACCACTCCCTCAAACTGGTACAAAATCAACGCTTCACAAACATCCATCCCCTTAAGATAATAACCACTCTCCCTTTTAACAAAATGTACTTGTATATTAGAAGACAGTATGTTTTTGTGAGCCTTATACATAAACAGTAAAATATTATAATCAACCAAGTCATAGAATTTCAATGTCTTCAGTTGATAAAACAATGTATTTGATGGATGTCTATAATCTTTTCTAGTGATAATTCTTACAGCTCTTTTCTCTAAAATAGAAATAGGATTTGTAATTATTTTACATGCTTTACCCCAGACTTGAATACAGTAAATTAAGTGTGGGACAAATATTGCATTATACAACATAATGCTTTATCATTGAGTAACTCCCTTACTTTGTACAGTACTGCAATAGATTTAGCTACTTTTGTTCTTAAATTATTTATCTGAGGTTTCCATGTCAGTTTCTCATCAATGATGACACCCAGAAACTTCACCTCACTGACTCTACAAATCTCAACACCATCGATTCTAAATGGAGCATTGACAGTTCACTTACTGTTACTGAATATCATGTAATTTGTTTTATCCAAATTTAATGATTATTTGTTTAGTCGAAAACAATTTTGTATTTTCACAAATTCTGTCTGTACCATCTCCAACATTCGTTCTATATTTTTACCTGAACAAAAAAATGTAGTATCATCTGCAAATAAAACACATCTAAACAGTCCTGACACATTAACCAAGTAATTTATGTATAAAATAAATAACTTATGTCCAAGTACAGAACCTTGAGGCACTCCACATGTGATGTTACAAAGTTCAGATCTTACATAATTTATTTGAACAAACTGTTTCCTTCTAAATAACTAGATACCCACTGTAATGCTAACCCTCTAATACCATATTTATTTAGCTTTTCAAGAAGAATACCGTGGTCAATAGTATCAAATGTCTTTTTCAGATCAACATAAATACTAACACAATACTTTTTTTTATCAACAGCAGTTGTTGTTTGTTTTATTAATTCCATGATAGCCATTGATGTAGAATTTTTAGGTCTAAACCCATATTGACTGTTACTTAATAGATTCTGTTTATTGATAAATTGGTCCAATCTAATCACAAATAACTTCTCTAAATTCTTCGAAAACTGTGGCAACAAGGATATTGGTCTGTAATTGTTAAACACACGTTTCTTACCATTTTTAAAAAGAGGAATTACCTTGGCTATTTTCATGTTGTTTGGAACATAATTCATTATATTCTTTACAAACATCATATCCATGTCCACCCAATCTTTTGATCTTTTTTGATCTTTTTTACAATATTCATTATTTCTTCTTTATCTGTTCCATCAAGAAAAATACTGTTGCAACAACTCGTAACTGTATGATTCACATTTTTATCTACTTTTGGTATTTTAGTTGCGAGACTCGGGCCAACATTCACAAAATAATGATTAAATCCATTTACAATTTCATTTTGATCTTGGATTTCTTTACCGTCCTTTACAAAATACTGTGGAATACCTGATTTTACTTCATGATTTTTCAGGACACTATTTATTATTTGCCATGTTGCCCTCATATGAACATTACATTTGTCTAATAAATCACTGTAATATTCCTTCTTATGTTTTAATCCATTGCTGTTTTAATCCATACCAACTTATTTTTATACTTCTTTTATCTCTCTTCCGCTTCTTTTGTTCTTAATTTCAGGAAGCATGAGTAGTTCTTTTATTACAAGCATTTCTCAACCCTTTGGTCATCCATGGTTTGTCAACATCTTTTTTTTTGTAATTTTTTTGCACACAATTCTTTTCATACAGAGCTCCTAAAATATTCATAAATACATCATATGCTCTTTTTACATCATCAACATACATGTCCTTCCAATTTTGTTTTCTTAAATCATCTTTTAATTTATCCAAAGCTTTTTGTGATGTGTTTTTTTTTTCCTTAATTGTATCTACTTTTGTATTGCATTGGTCATTTTTATAAATTGTGAAAATTGGTAAGTGATCGCCTTCATCAGTAATCAAAATGCCACCCATTATACCATACCATACCATACCATACCAATTTATTTATAAAGCACTTTAAACAGTGACAAAGCACACCAAAGTGCTGTACAGGGACAAACAGAACAAGCACATAGCAACAGATTACATAACAGGACACCAAAAAGTAGAAACCAACAAAAACAATAATGGATAACAACAACAACCGCAACAGGACTAACACAGTGTGATGCACACAGACTCAGCACAGATCACACAGTGCAGAAAGCCAGGGAATAAAAGTGTGTTTTTAAGCGAGATTTAAAAACCGTGAGGGAGGGGGCCTGTCTAACGAGCAGAGGTAACTCATTCCAAAGTCTTGGGCCTGCTACAGAGAAGGCCCTGTCACCTCTGCGCTTGAGACGGGTTCCTGGGACAGTGAGGAGCTACTGGTCTGCTGATCTGAGAGAACGTGGTGGGACATACGGCTGGAGC